ACTCAAGTAAACCGAATACACGCAAATTATAACAACCTGCGTGTAAAGTTTTACAAATTTGCGTGTATTTTCTCGTGTATTTTTGCATGTATTTTTTTACACAAGTGTTTCACATGTGTTTTTCTCGTGGAACTTGCGTGCAATATGGCAGATTTCCATGCATGAAACACGCGTAATGCTGCAATGCCCGTGGCCTGTACTGTACTCGTTTCCACTCTGAAGGTCTTTGTACATGTATCATGTTTAATTTTTGTAGTAGGTTGGCTGATCAATTAAATTCCTATAAAGTGCAATTCATTTTTTTCAATGTATAAAAATGGAACATCTTATCTTTCCAAGGGTGAAAAACAGCATAGTCTCACATGCGAGCAAAAAGACCAGCCATTCCAGTCCACCATGTTGAATTTTCCTGAGTAACCAATAACCTGGGGGTTTACCAACCCCGACACAAAGTGACCTGTTTTCCTCTTTTAGAGTACTTCATCCCTTATCCCTTTTCCCCACAAATATTCTGGTTCAGTTTTTGCTTCCATAGAACGGGTTATGGGTTGGGAACTTTAAAGAACATGTGCAGACAAGAAACTTGAACTGCACTGAACTGCAGGTTGAAAGGGTCACGCTTTACAGACATATACATCCTACTGAATAGTGTACACAACAGTTCAGGACTACATGGTGAAATAACAACAAACAGTGGGTGGACCAGGATCATTCTGGGAGCCTCAACATCCAGTGCTTGGTGCAACTTAAAATGTGCAATAACCACTTATCCATGCTATTTTCTAGGTCACTTGTTTCCAAATTAACGGTGCATTCTCCTCATATGTGCAAAGAAAGCACTGGTGAATTGTCTGTACTTGAAGTAGGTCTCCACAGATCAAGAAGGGAATTCTGGCAGTATATTTTTGTTCAGACATTTATTTTTTGCTAGATGATTAGCAATGCGTTTGGCATACCTATATATACTAACGTTAAAAAACTGTTTGATTTCTAGAAGAGTGTTTACTGGATGCCAATGCAAAAACCATGAAGCAAAACTTAGCACTTATTCCTAAATTATGTTCACGGTGCAATGTAATATTAGCTGATGGTATGTTCTCGCGTATTCTGCAGTCATAACCGGAAATGTCCTTGACAGCATTGATCGATACACGCAGCTCTTAAGCAGTTGTCTTAAGTAACAAATGACCAATTACACAACAAATTTGACCAGGCACATCTTGTTTATTTCTCCCACCTTTCCACTTGTAAGGGCAAAGAACTTTGCAGCTGGACGTTGTGTTCATAATGCTGTTATGGAAGTAATGATACTGCAGAATAGTATCAGAGAATTACTCCGATTACTTTGGGATGAACATAATTGTTGAAGTAACAAGTTGGTAGAACTGTTAAAACTTGGGGTTAAATTGTGTATACTCACGTGCTATTCAACGATGGCATTGTAACTGTAGTAATGCCAAGGACAGCACGTGGTCATTCTCTTACAGCAGCATTGTTTATTTCCCATATTTTCCCGACATTTTTCTGCTATCACGTCTCAGGGAGTAAAGAGAAGTCTTTGATCGGGCTTTTGCGGGTCAGTTTTATTATTCTAAATGCCGTTATTTGGTTTACTGATTAACGTTCCCTATTGGTGTCTTTCCTTGGCATAAAAACCCTTCTGATGGATGAAATCGTGCCGGAAGGTATTTGCCCCTGGCAGGATGGCTTTGCAAGTATTACTGGAACCACAAGTTTGCTGCTTCACTGCTCAATTTTGGTTTTAACAAGTGTCCTTTTCTTTATCGCCATGCATCCTCCAGTGAAGGAAAAACGCCTGCATGTCAGAAAGGCTGCATTCAACCCATTGTGGGAGAACTCAAAAACAAAATCAAGGCTTGAGTGGTGATTGATGAAACACCCTTTAGTGGTCTTTTCAACCATTTTGTGGCACATTTGTTTTCGATTTCTTTGACATAATGAGTGTCATAACTTACCCTTTATATTGTCCCTGATTTATGTTCAAAGTTTATTTCTCAGAATTTCCATTGAGCAAATATGGGCCTTTAAATGAGGATGAGACGAATTAATACTGAATTTGGCATACAGGTCTGGTTATATGAAATGGCCTAAATAACAATACTAGAAATCTGGCTTGTTTCACACCGTGAGTGACCAGCTTACGAGAGTGAGAAGGCCCCCTCAAACACTATTACAGGTTCACTCAGATCTCGTTGGCTATCTTAAAAGTAATCCTACTACCCTGGATGGTGTTCAATTTCGGGAATTTATCAACCAAGGTGGTTGGGACACCTACCTGCAAAGGATGTCAAGGGATGGCGCGTGGGACGAATGGGGCGAATGGGGAGAATAGGGCGAATGGATTGCTCTGTGGGGGCTGGTGAACATGTTTAGCCTTCCTGTAGCTTTGGTCTCCAGCTTAAGGGAAAGAGGATTACAAATTATCAATCCAGCCACAAATGGACATGAAGGAGGGGACCTTACAGTTATGGTCTTGCTTGGACATGAAGCAGAAGTTCATTACCATAGCCTGGAAGCCCCTAAAGACCCTGTTACAATATGGAGAAGGAAAAGTCACCGAGGAGATCTGCCCAAAGGTTTGGGAAAAAGTTATGCCATTCCCAAGGAGTCTTTGAAGGGTTAAATGGCATGTTGCAGGTACACTCTGACGACAGCTTCCTTTGCAGTAACTGCGAGATGTTAGGACTTTGATTTTATGCAATGAAGAAGGACATCCTAATTCTTGACTGTTGAATGATCACATTCGCTGTGATGAAACTTATTATTTCAACAGTTGATAGTAAGATTAACCGATTAATTGATGATGAGAAAGTTTCATTATTTCGAAGTTAACTGCAGTACATTAAAGTCTACGATTTTAAGCTCAACTTTGAAATAGTAACTAAACAAGACACTGCGATGCGATGCATTGAGGCTGTGTTTCCTTGATTTACTGAAATTTTACTAACAGTATGTTGAAAGTTTATATTTTGTTTGCTTTTATTTGATTGAACAAAGTCTTAATGGATTTTCTCATTCAGTTTTTATTCATGTATTTATTAGGGAAGTAAAATTTCGCTTTTAATGTGACTTTTTCCAATAATAATAACATTGACACAATGATCTGCCAAGCCATTCCTATTTTTTTTTCTGGATCGTTTGCGGTCGACTTTGGGCATCACTTACGGCCGAGAATCATTTGCAGTCCATTTTGGAGATCATTTGCAGTACTGCACAGCGCCTCTCTAAGTGCTATGATGGGTATTTTCGATATACCTTCAAACGCACAAATGGGAAGCAGGTGGGGGTGTCCTCAGCGAAGCTGGTTCTACTGGCCCTTACTACACCTCATCAGTTCCTTGAGTCAGTCGCGCCAAAAATTGTTGCAAGAAAGGCCTTTCAGAAAGGGCTCTCCTTTTCTTTCAACAAAAGAACAGCAACTGTGAGACCTATAATTTCCACTGAAATCCAGGGAAGACATCTTCCAAACGTCCTTTGTACAGTACAACACAACTGATACAACCACTCAACTACTGAAGAGCCACAGCTCATGATTTAAAGTGCAATTTTTGGTCATTGGTCAGACAACTGGTTTGAAACGATGCACCAGGTTAGCATTGTTGGATCATTGTGGGTATTTCTGTTACGTTTACATGCTTATTGTCATGAGCATGTTGTAAGGTGGATGTGGTTTTGTTAATCTCCTTACTGTTTCACTTTAAATGGTGACCGACAACACCATTTATGCAAGAGCTTACACAAGCATAGATGTACCACATTATTCAGTTCAAGAGAAATTGAGCCAGGTACTACCGACATATAATACGAGGGGAAAGTGGGCACTCTTGCCCACCAGAGTCTGGGGTGATGCCCTTGGCAAGCATCTGTAAGCTCAAAGTCACCACCACTAAGCTTACAGCAAAGGAGCACTTTGAACTCAGTAGGCTTGATCATCAACCTTTGATCTTCCTAAGAGTTTACGAGCAAACAATACTTCCAGGGTTGGATTATGGTTATGTTGTTTAGCATGAGTGTTATAAAAGCCTAGCTGAAAAGATTAAAAAAGGACAAAATAAGGCTTTGAGAGTGACCTCAAAAGGCAATAGATCATAATGTATACAGGAAGTGAGCAATTCTATAGGTCAATGATACTTTTTACCAGAAGACAATTTATTTATATCTTCAGAATTGTAATAATCAGAACTGTCCAAAGCAGTTAAGCGGTGTACTGGTCCAAAGAAAGCAGCCCCACGCAAAGTTATTATTACTGATGTGTGAAAGGTGAGTCACGCGTTTGTCATGCATGCATAGTCCTGTGCTTGTTTTCGTTGACTGAGAAGCTTGCTTGTTTTAAAATTTGGGTTACACTTCCCAATAAATATGTTTTGTTTTTTTTTAACCTTTGGGTTAACCCTTCGGCTACATTGTACCGTTGTCTTGATACGGGTCTTTGCATGCTAAGATGTTAGCGCAAAGAAGTTTTTACGGTTTGAAAATCCTACCAAAGTTCTTGCGCGCGCATTATTTTTGGGCTGTATGTACTGAAAAACAAAGAATTGACAAAGTCTCTTATAAACGACTGTGTATAAAAGAATTCAGCTTTTATGATCTGCGCAAGAATCTCTCGCCGAGGAGGAATCAACGAGTCAGTTACAGTTACCTTGGACAATTATTATTTCGCAAAGGCAAAGAACAATTTTTCCGAATTTTCTCCCTTTATACCAGGTAGAGAATTACACAGACACCGAAAGTCCATGTAAATGATGCCTTCTGACAGGTGTAGATGTTATAATTCACTCAATAGTTGTTTATTATGCAAACACGCACAAGTTCCAGTGGACCAATAAAAACACTTACACTTCATTTATCCAATGAAAACACTGGATTTTCGATTCGCGCGACCTTTAGTGTAACATATAAAACAGGCTCTGTTATCAAAGTAAAGTAATCACATTTGTTAGCGGGTAGCCACCACAGTGTTCAGTCTCAACAGTTGCGGAATGTCTCTAAGACAGTTGTGCAAGCAAACAAGTAAACGTGTTTCAAAAGCACTGTTTCTTTTCCCTGAAGAATGCAAAATGGGTATCGCATCAACTCGTTTCATCGTCGAGAAAGACCTTGACTTAGTGAAGGGACTGTCTGTCCACGTTAACTGGGAGGGAAAGAAAGTGCAAGTGGAGATCCTTGCTGTAAGCGGTAAGTGTCAATCGTATGTTTTGAAGTCTGTATCTTTTAGTTAGGTGATCCTTTCTTGTAAGCACTAGCAATTTTTGATACAGTTATGATCTTTTTAACACCAAGTCCGTAATTTTACGTCCATGTTACAGATGACAAGAAAGTGTTAGCTGAGAAAGACCTGGAATGGTACAAGAAGAATTTTCTAGCAGTGACAGAACAGATCCGAGGAACCACAGAGCCACCAAGAAAAAAAGCTGCCCGAAATAAGGTAACTAGTAGAGTCGACTATTTCTTTGTTTTCGCTTAACTTCCTTATCGAGGTTCCAGGGAACTTCTTTTCTTGGCGATTGACTGAAATTTACCATTTACTTGTTTCACCGATTAAATCTTTGTAATATTGTCACTCGACCCTTACCTTGCATAACTTGAATACTCGACTGAACTCGCATTTAATTGATTTAGACGTTGCATTTTACATGCACTTAAGAGGCAGTCTCAGTAAAAACCGCCCACTCAATTTCGCGTGAAAAATAATTTTGCCTGAAACTCTGGTGGATGAAAGCCTTTATTGGGACTATAAAATAGGTTTGCTTTGATTCAAAGTTATTTTCTGGCCGCGCTAAGAAGCACGAATTTTTTTTGCCCACCATGGCCATATGGCGGGGCTCAAAAATTGAAAATTTGGCATTTTTTGGAGCGCTGTAAAATTTTTTAGTCGCAACATCTCGAAATGAATTTGGCACCTATTTACTGCTAAATGTTTTCAGTTTTTCAAGATATTAAGTATTTCTCCGTAAACGTACCCAGAAAGATGAAATCAACCAAAATATGACCCCTATAAAATACCATCGAACAGACGGCCAAAAATGGCCTTAGTTTAGAAGCATATTTCTACTTTTTGGGACAGAGCTGGTTATTCTAGACTATAGAGCCGAAAAGATTGATCCTTAATTGACAAAAATTCACAAGAACCCGTGTACGATTTTAGTATTTCAAAAGTTATGGCCGTTTTTATATGCGCACATTCGAGGTTTAGCCATTTTTTCCTTTAAAGCGTAATAAATCATCACTACTTATCTCGACTAGATTTTGTCTAAATTACGGCTTACCTTATGCGAGGCAGGAACGTTTGACCAAATGAAATAAAATCCTGACTTCCGAGAAGCATGATTCCATAAAAATCAAGTATACTTTAGCCTTGAAAATTGCTGGCGAAGTTGAATCCAAAATGTCTCCGATCGAAATGTAACGATCATACGGCTCATGTTTCGCGTGTATTGTATTAAAATACCTTGATGAGACAAGCATTCAGAGCAATTTGCTCGAGAATCAGAATATATCGACTTTTCAGCTACGTTTTCGGAGAGAAAATAAAAATTTGTTCGCTTCAAAGCCCGGTAAAACCTTGGGATGTCACGCCTTGTCACGCAACTTTAGCTAGAAACCGGAAACGGAGAAATTAAGAAACCTGGAATAAGAAACCAACTATGTTTCCTTGGGTCTTCTTCATCAAAGATACCGAGCAAAAGGGAATTAATTGAATAAATTCATGACCAGATAAAATGGTGAAAATAGTAAACAGGATAGACGGACAAAAGAATCGAAAATTGATGGCCTCTAAAATTCGCTGCAAATCAGTTCTTCCATTTTATGCATAATACCGCTAGCCAGTCAAATCATGGACAAGACAAAGCCCAGAAAAGGAGCCGAGTGAGGATAATTAACGCATGGGAAGTCTTTTGGTAGTTTTAATCTTTATCACCCTATTTTTTTATGGAATGGAACTCTGTAAGTGCTTATTGGAGGCTAGAGGTGAATCTGTTTGTGCCGAGTCTGGCGGCAAGTTAATAAAACTTTCAGACTGCAAGAGCAGTATCGACGATTCATTGCGAAAGTTGAACGTCCTCAGTCATTTTCAGGGGCAACTCCTCGAATATGACCTTATCCTCAACAGATCAGGTCTAGCACACGACCTTTCGTTCGATCAACTTGAGCGGCTCTGGATATGTGAAAAACACAGAAACGACATGGGGAAATACTGGCGACCTCGTCAAACCTGCCAGTATCCACTGCATCGTCCAGGCCCAAAGAAAAAGCTTAGAACGAGAAATGCTGTACACGCAAGTATGTCAAGGGAAATTAATCTTATCTTTGGAAAGAACGTTCCAATAGGATCCCGTGAGTATAATCTATATTTTGCCCAGGTTACCTTTTGTTTAAAGCTCCTGTGCATTTTCGCAGAAACATGTCTAAGGGAAGGCGCCAGAAAAGTTGCGTGCAAATACATAATCTAATTACGTCTCTGTTTACCTAGCCGGTTTGTGATATTTATTTGTTGGGCATTCGAGGCTTTCTAGAACAATTGCAGTTCGTCCTCAAGTAAAAGCTTATCTCCTGAAAGCAAATTAAATTAAGTATGCTTTCTGTCTCTACGAAATTCACTCAAATTCAATTTGTCCAATATATTGTTCAGTAAGTTTCCTCGATCTTCCCGTCGAAATTATAAACTGTAGTAGCATCGGTTGTTTTGTTTTTTAATTTTCCTTTTTAAGTACAGTTGTGAAAAAAAGGCCTGAAAAAATTCAGGCTTGCAGGGGATTCGAACCCTGACCTTTTCGATACTAGAGAAGCATTCTAAGTGAGCTAGCAAGTCAACTGGAAGGAGTTGAACTGGCTCGATGTAATATACCCCGGGAAAGATAAAGATGAAATAATGATCATTATTTGACTAAATAATGTAATAGGAAAATAAGGTAGTTTGTCAGCAGTTAAGGCTGCTAGAAAGGTTGTAATAGACGCATGTTGATAACACCAGAAATTTCTAGTGCTGTGAATTTCGCTCGTTTGAGCCGTTCTCTGTCTTCTACACTTGTTTTAAAGAGCTCTCCGGTTTCGAGGTGCGGTGTGAAAAGAGCGCGCCGGGGCCTGATGCGCAACTCCTGTTCTCTCTGTGACTGTTTGTTTGGTTGTTTGTTTTTTTTTACATTCAGTCATTCCTTTCTCGCGATTTATCTCATTATTTCGCTACTTTTATTTTCAGTGATCTGTGTATCTTGCTTTAACTTACACAAAGTCAAACTTGAAGAAAATAATGCTCTATTGAAACAGAAAGGAGGCGAAGACAACAACGAACAGGATGATAACCCTTCAAGGTGCATAATTTCCGTCGCAAAATATCAGTATCAGTACGTTGCTATAAACTATGTAACTATTGATGAATTTCAACGTAAATGACTCCAAATTAAACACATTTCTTTCTAGATACAAAAAAATTGTTTAGTGTGTTGTATTGAAAAGGTTTCGTATCACTTCATTTTTATTTAATAGGGACAGGTTTTATGTGCGCAGCTTATTACGAGTCCTCTTTGTTTTATTCTATGAACTTTTTTATTTAACGCCTCAACGACAATGAGGATAATAATCAAGTAAAAAGAAAACTTGAATCCGGTATGTGTTAATTTTCATTTCCTTAATTGTACAGACTTGTAAAATGTATTGCATCTATGAAGATCTCAGCTGCAGTATCTTCTACGCCTTCGGTGACACCGGCAGCAAAAGCAGCTGAGTGGACGACGGGGTGGAGGCCTTCGGACTGTAGCTCTGGGGAGGAGGATGTTGCTGAAAGCGTGGCAGAGTCCGCCATATCAGAATTCAATGCCGCCATGGGGAAGCTTAATGAGGTTTCTACTACTAGACAGGTCAGTCCCTTAACGTTTCAGTTAAAAACGACGTGGGATGAGGCAAAAGAGCACGAGAAAGAAGTGTGCATCGATAAGGCTACTGAAGCCTGTAGCCTCGTGTGTGAGATTATAGCGCCAAAGGCTGCACAGGAGCTACTTCAGTCCTGTTGTATTCCTGATACAAAGGCAGACTATGAGGATCTTGTACCACTGATGCAAGCCTACAACGCTGCTAAGACAAGAAACGTGAAGACTCAAATTCTGAGCCTTTATGCTTATAGATATCCAGCGAGGACGCTTCAGAGGATCCACGAACCATTTGCGAAGCTAACATCTTGGCAAATCAAACGCGCTAGAGCTCACGCAAGGGAATGCAGTCCAGGCTCCTTAGTAGAAAAGCCGCCTTCTCATAGGGTTCGACTTCTCCCAGCGAAACTTGACCATTTCTTAGACTTTGTTAACCGGCCATACTTTTATCAAGATGTTGCATTTGGTACAAGGAAACTGAAACTTAAAAGCGGCGAGAAACTCACAATGCCAAACATCATACGTAAAGTAACAAGAGCAACAATGATCAGGCAATATCTAAAGTTCTGTGAAGAAGAACAATACGAACCCCTAAGTCGCGCGAGTCTATTTCGTGTTCTCGAAGTACGGGAGGCCTCACAACAGAAATCCTTGAGTGGTTTAGACAACACAGCTGCCGATGGGTCAGCGGCGTTCGAGCGCCTACAACGAATAGTAGAGGAGCTTGGTCATATTGGCCTAGAGAAGAGCTTGGCAGATGATATAAGTAGATCTCTTCGGGACGGTAAGAAGTATTTGAAAACAGAATATCAGAAGAATTGCAAAGATAATGAGAGCTCATGTCCAGATCATTGCCGTAAGTTGGGTCTAAGTGACCCGAATGATCCAAATTTTCAAGAGAAATGTACACATGAACATACTCTTAGCTGCCCTCAATGTGATGACATCACTTCCTGTTTGCATAAATTGCAACAAACCGTCAATGACAGTGAAAGCTTACGCTTTTACAGCAAAGAACAGAAAGAAGACTTCCTGTACGACATCGAGAAAGCTTCGGATGCTATTGTACAGTGGAAAGCCCACATTATGAGAGCTGTAAACCAGGAATGTGCGAAACAAGATATACTGGCAGAGCTTGATCAGAATTCGTGCCTTCTAGTAATGGACTGGGCTATGAAGTTCTTGCAGCTTCGTTACAGAGAAAAACAAACTGATTGGTATGGCAAGAGAGGGCTCAGCTGGCACATCACTAGTGTCGTGACCAAAGACATGTCCAGCGCAACTGAGGTTATCTCTTACGCGCACCTTTTTGATCAGTGTACACAGGATTGGTTCTCAGTAGCTTCAATTCTAGAAGACCTTCTGACAAAACTAAAAGCCAGGAATCCTCTCATCCAAAGAGCATATTTAAAGTCAGATGAGGCTGGTTGTTATCATAACAGCTCCTTGATTGCTGCTGTAAGAGATATCGCAAAGAGAGTTGGTGTTACAGTACATAGTTATCATTACTCAGAGCCACAGTCTGGAAAGGATATTTGTGATCGTATCCTGTGTCCACTGAAGTCCTCCATCCGTATGTACTGCAACGAAGGTCATGATGTTTTAACTGCTGCAGACATGAGAGATGCCTTAATACAACACCCGGTAAAAGGAACATCTGCCGCGGTTTGTGTAGTCAACGAGTCGAGAAAGACTCTTTCGGTAAAGAAGATGGAGCAGTTCAGCAGCTTTCATAACTTTGAATATGAAGCTGATGGTCTTAGAGTGTGGAAATGCTATGGTATAGGCGATGGAAAGTACATTCCATATGAAATGCTTTATGTCACCAATCAGGTTCCAACCGCTCTCCAAACAGTGGAATCCCAAGAATTCTATGTACCACTTGGAAAACGAGAGGTAAAACCCAGTTCAGAAGCTAGCAAGAGTACTGAGAGTAGTACACCACTGTTTGAATGTTCAAAGCTCGGTTGCAACGAGGCCTTTGAATCCTTTGCGCAGTTAGAGCTGCATCTTGATGTCGGTAAACATACTGCCAGCAGGTTAAACCAGTATGATGTCATCAGAAGGGACTGGGCACTGAAATTCTCATCTGTAGATAACCCTGCTGACACCGAAATGTATTCAGTGCCTTCCGGGGGACCGCCAACGTTTTCAGAAGTCACTTCAAGCAAATCATCTCTGCAAACAGGTTGGGCCTTAAGCAAACCGAGAAGTAGCGTTAGATTTTCGCCAAAGGTCAAAGAATACCTAACAGCACGTTTCACAATAGGAGAAAGAACAGGGCGTAAGGCTGACCCCGGCCAGGTTGCAGCAGACATGCGAAATGCAAAAAATGAGTCTAATGAACGCCTGTTTACTAGATCTGAGTGGCTTTCAAAGAACCAAGTTCAGAGCTTTTTTTCGCGGATGGCAGCAGCACGTCGTAAAGAGCAGGGTGTTGTCGGCTTGTCAACGGAAAAGGAGGAAGACATACAGTGCTTGCAGGAATATTCAGAAAGAGAGGATCTGATTAACACAGTAAATGAAGAAATTAACGTCGCACATCCTATCTGTTTTGACAGTTATGACCTGTGTGAGCGTTATCATAGCAACACGCTCCAAGAATTCAATGTAGCCATGCTTAGGAGTATCTGCAACCATTTTGAGATTCCTGTGAAATCGAGGGACAAAAAGAAATTCCTCTTAGACAAACTGACAGTCATGATAAGTGAATGCGAGTGTGTGTCTCACTAAAGCAATGTAAAGCGTTTCCTTAAATTCCTACCTGTTGTGTTGTGCTGTCGTAAGCAGGGTTACGTAAGTCAAATTACAGGGAACTTAGCAAAAGCAGTATTTTTACACATGGTGACGTTATTTCCGGCCGCCGTTCAACCCTGCCCGTCCGTTCAAACAAGTTTATACGGCAAGTTGTCATACCCTATTTCCCTGCTCTTTACTTTTTTGAAATGGGAAAAAAGTGAAATAATAAACATTAATGTTATATGAAAAATTATATAAATTATTATCTGAAGAAATGACTCAACAATTTTCAATTTACAAGACATGTTTTGGAAACTTATTCTATCTTCAGTTGTAGAAGTTCGTAACAATTTAAATATCTTCAGTTGTAGAAGTAGTTACAATAGGCCATTCACAGTTGAGGGCTTTGTGTCCAAGCCTTTGAGTGAACGTGAGGCTGAGGTTGACATTGTCTTGATAGAAACATCCTCTCTTTTCTAATGTAAATTTTGCTTAAAAACACTTGTTAGCATAAAACCACACGATTTACATATCGCGACGCCGCCACTGGTTACCGTGTGAAATGTGAAACCAGTGGTGGCGTCGCAAAATGTCGGCTGTTTTCTCAGGCTAGCCATTTTCAAGGTATTCTGCAATAGTCAACGGCAAAATTATAAAGTATAATGTTTTGTGAGTTGAGGAAGCTTGGCAGGCGATAGTCGTTACAAATTAGTGAAAAACAGCACCCAAGTGAACACGTGATTTACTGTATTTTGAATAACTCCTAACAACCAACTTCTTTAACTTATCATTTCTTGTAACACTTAAAAACGTCGTTCTTTTATACGTTATGGGTTTATTTACAGTATCAGTTGTTAAAACAATATTTTTGTAAGCACGCCTTTCGCGTAATTAAATTCCGTTGATAAATGCACTATTCTGGGTGGTGAATTCCATGCCTTGTTTTCCTAGTTCCAGGATTCCATATTTCCGCTAGGAATCCTATTTCGGTCAAAACACTACGTGACCTTTTTATTATAGAGAGAGTTCCAAGGAACTGTTATCTGAATTTGAAGCAATCGAATCCTTATTTACGTTTCCAAAAACGAACGTCGATTTGTTTCTTTTCTGATCCTCAAGCAAACTAGCTATCAACGGATGTTTTACCGGCTAATTACCGAGAAACGTTAGACGTGACCACGGATTTGCGCCTGTTTCAGTATCCGAGCCGTTTTGGAATCTGCAAGGAATTCTACTTTAGGCGAACGACAGCTATTTTCAAGGCAGTTTTAGCCGGATTCTGATGAAATCAAGATTCCTTCGGATCAGAATATGGCTCAGTTTGTAGGTAAGCCGTCCTTTTCACAAATCGGTCAGTGTAAAACGCAGACTGCGGACTGCAGACTGCAGACTGCGGACCAGGGGTAAAATGCAGATAGAGTGTAAAATGCAGACTGCAGACTGAGAGTAAAACGCAGGCTGGGTGCAAAATGCAGAATGAAGATTGTAGACTTCACAAACAATTGTGCTCCTTCTTCTCCAAATAGCTAGCTGGTATCAGTTACACACCTCGCTTCCTAGTCGAAGTTAGTACATTGCATATTCGCCAAAAGTTCAAGGAACATCCAAACAGCTAAAGTCTGCGTACCTTGATTTTCAATCCTTTCATAGAAGGTCATCCAAATTTCCTGCAGAACATCTTCTTTTGTTGTTGGAATGATTTACTCTCTTTTTTGTCGCCATAATTGTTTTGAATTCTTTCTGTACAGTATTTTGGGTCAGCAGCTTTTATTTAAGCGTAAACATCGTGGTGTTGTACCAATTCATGGTCACGCCTATCGAAAAAGTTGAAGCGTGAGGTCTCTCGGACGGAAAAAGGTTCAAGATTGCGATTACTAGTATGTTTTCGGATCGTGAAGAGGTTCCTCAGAAGAAAGGAATGGATTTGTGAAAGTAGATGTCAAGTAAGTGTTCATTTACATGTATTTGCGGGATTGTTTTGCCCTTAAACCCTTCCGCGACTACAGTTTATGCTCGGTCTGCATTTTACCCCAACCTGCATTTTACTCTGAGTCTGCAGTCTACATTTTACACTCAGTCTGCATTTTACCCCTGGTCCGCAGTCTGCAGTCTGCTGTCCGCAGTCTGCGTTTTACACTGACCGCAAAATTTTCTTGAGGTGGATTTATTATTTCACAGAGTATTAATGGACGACAAATCGCTCAATGTTGACATGTTCGTTAATTCAAACGGTCATAACTTTTGAAATACTGAAATCGTACACGGGTTCTTGTAAATTCTTGTCAATTAAGGAACAATCTTTTCGGCTCTATAGTCTAGAATAATCAACTCTGTCCCAAAAAGTAGAAATATGCTTCTAAACTAAGGCCATTTTTGGCTGTCTGTTCGAGGGCATTTTATAGGGGTCATATTTTGGTTGATTTCAACTTTCTGGGTACGTTTACGGAGAAATACTTAATATCTAGAAAAACTGAAGACATTTATCAGTAAATAGGTGTTTAATTTATTTCGAGATGTTGCGAATAAAAAATTTTACAGCGCTCCAAAAAATGCCAAATTTTCAATTTTTGGGCCCCGCAATATGGCCATGGCGGGCAAAAAAAATTCGTGCTTCTTAGCGCGGCCAGAAAATAACTTTGAATCAAAGCAAACCTATTTTAGTTATAGTCCCAATAAAGGCTTTCATCCACCAGAGTTTCAGGCAAAATTATTTTTCACGCGAAATTGAGTGGGCGGTTTTTACTGAGACTGCCTCTTAATTCAGCAATTCGATTCGGCGCATGTAAAATGCGACGTTTAAACCGGGCCTAACTCGACCATTACCGTGTGTAGCTCCGAAGTGTTGTTGTTAATTGCCTGGTTAATTGCGAGGTTAATTGCAAAAGGTAATCATTCGATATTGTTTGACTTAGCCTGCTGAAGTGCAATGTCCCAAGACCGAAGCAAACGCGAGTGACCACCCGTACGAACAGTTCTTGGTCGGCCAGAAGCAGAGGCAGCACGAGTGGCAAAAAGGCCGAGAATCCAAGAGGACCAAGGTAGCAGAAAGGGAAGCGCATGTGACGGTGACAAGTTCCTCCCCACAAGACGATGCTGTCACTATACTCCACCAGCAGCTCGCTGTCAAGACAGAGGAGTGTCGTCAGCTGATGAATAAGCTAGCTGCCATGGAAGAAGCGAACACTAAAATTCTCTCCTGCCAGATGCAAATGCAAGAAAACTTTGTTAAGGTAATGCATTAACCTGTGGTCAGGTCCGTTCTCCCTTGAAACAAAGACACAACACTCTATAGCTAACATTGCTGTTTTGCAATTGGGAGAAATTTAAAATATTAGCTAAGTGAACTACTTCATGATTTAGAAAATCACGGATTGCTAATGACAAATTGAAAATCTGAGCAATTTCCTTTAAACCGTACCATTTTACTCTACATGGAGGAGATTCATAGATTGCTAGTGAAACACTTATTTGATTAGAAACCACAACATCGCTAAACATAAATAGAGGCTAATAGACGCCGTGTCGAATTTGAAAAGCAAGCGTTTTGAGTGTTGGCCCTTCTGCTTTGCTCCAACTGAAGGTTTAACACTCGAAATGTATGCTTTTTCATATTCTCTAAGGTCACAAAAAGGTAATTTAAAAGCACTCTATGTCCTGAATCTGTCAGCTGACCCAAATTTCCGTTAACTGTTGTAGATGATGGAGAAATTTGAAACATCCCTGTCAGGAATGGAACACACAAACTGGTGAACAAGATGTCTGCCTTAGAAAACGTGAGTGCTGCACTATCAAACATCGAAGGACGCCTGGAGTCACTGGAAGGACAATCCCTAACTCATTTTCCAAGGGTAAGAAATTTTTGTAAGACTGCCGCTAGATTTCGGCCTGAGAATTCCTAGTGATACAATTCAAACAAGCAGGGTTTCTCATTTTCACTTAAGCTGCGAAAGCAGGTTGATTTCCGCTTTTGATTGAACTTTTTTACAAATGACTAGAAAAAATAAGTGTGACAAGCCTAAAGAGCGTCTTACTAAAACGTAACTGGCTAAAAAATTATGGTAATGTTTGATTATACATGTAAGCAGTGATCATATTTCAGAAAAATTAAGTATGGTCACGCTAATGACCTATCAACGGGAGAAATCGGGGAGCAAACAAAAAAATGTTGTTCTATTTTTTTCTTGCAGCTCGACCTCGATGCCACAGTCGCAGATAACGGCTTTGCCGCTGACATCCCAGCGTTAGACGAAAATGAGCCACCTGCAGAGATCGGGGACCTAAGCACCATTGATACTGACACACTGGACAGGCTTTGCGAGGAAGTCCAACCAGCCCAGACCAGTCAGCTTGTGCAGCCTACCAGAGTGGCAACTTCTGCGCAGGAAGTCGGCGAGAAACTTATCGGTACGTGTGTGACGCCCACCAAAGTAAAAGCAGTCCAGCAGACCCTGGGACAAGAGAGGGAACGGCACCTCTGTGCGCTGAAGCTCCTGCAGTCTTTTTTCACCAGCGAGGAACTAGCAAACAGCAATACAGATGGTACTTATGGAAAAATGTGTCTAGACAGCGCCAAACTCAATTCACTTAAAGTGTTACTTTTCACCAAGTTTCCAGCTGGCGCCGACGAGGATAAGGAAAAAGTATGGAGGTATATCAAAAGCAAAATTAATTCTAAGTGTCGCGCTGTCCGCAAGTTTACCCCGAAAGACTCAGCTGATCGTTTATCGTAATCATTTTTTTAATAAACCGTAGCTTGAGAATCTTCTTGTAATTAGCTAGCTGTTTATTTAAGGAAGTCGTCTATGTAGAAAGGAGAATTGTCAGTAGTACAATAAACATTAATTTTGTAATTGACTCTCGCCTGTGCCAATTACTTTAGAAGACATACATACAATGGCACTAACTCTCAAAACAAATAAAAACTAACCGCGAACAAACCAGGATGAAGCTAACAGCAGGCAAACTGGTGTCATTCTACCGAATTAGAAACAGAGATGTCTTTTCTTTTTTTATCATTATGCTTGCCGGTGAAAACTGACACTTCAAAAACACAATGCACACCGACTCACCAACGCACGCCGAAAGACAAAATTTTTTTCAGCAAAAAAGTGACTTTAGTAAGAGGCGAAACATAAAACATTGTTTAACTGTTTTTTTCTTTTAATAGAGAACATTTGACTGTTTAAATCAACAAATTCCGCCAAGTAGGAACAGAGATGTCTTTTCTTTTCATTTTTTTTACGCTTGCCGGTAAGTGACACTTCAAAAAAACAATACACACCGACTCAACAGTGCATACCGAAAGACTAAATTTTTTTCAGCAAAAAAGTGACTTTAGTGAAAGCACAATATAAAAACAACAGAGATGTTTTCTTTTTTTATCACGCTTGCCGGTTAGAAGTGACACGAATTTTTTCATAGACTTTGTTCGCCCAGCAATTATTTTGACGCTTCAAAAGATAACAAACATGTCTCGTCGGTGCTTTCATTAAAAAGACTTTACTTCACCGTTTAAACGACAATAAACTTTATTCAAACTTTGAAAAAACATTTTCTCCCTATAAAAAGAGATCATTTTACTGTTGTTTTATATAACCAAGTTTTCCCACGTACAAATTGAAAAAGAAATAGTCTTTATTTAATAGTAGATAACACATGTTGGTCATTGACTTTTGCAGATTTGGCGGCTCCTAAGCGACCTGGACTCGTCCACTTTGACGAACCAGGGCGCGGTGGCTCCTAAAAGAGCCGTGTTTGTAAAACTGTAGAGCACTGTTGAATGCTTGACTAGAGGCTTCATGGCGCTGGTGCAACCAGATCTTCTGTTCCTGGTTTGCAGAACTGGCGAATTTCTCGGTGCAGATACTGCTTCCGTTCTTGAGATAATCCTTGGGGGTTTACCTTAGCTGGAAGTACTGCGGGTGGTAGGGTGGCAGGGAATTTCACCAGCAAAAGAGATCGCTCGGGAAAAGTGCTGTACTCTTTGAAGTAAATTTTGCCAGGTTCCTCTTTTGAAAATCTGAAATGATTATTGTGCCGTTCGCCCCTTTACCAAAGTCACTTGCCTCGTCAGTAAGGTAGTTAACCTGTTGAGGTACTACTTCGCACATGAGGCCAAAGATTCCGCATTTGTGTGGTGTTTTAAAGTAAATCGGTCCCGGCTGCATCGGGTTACTGGGGATGTGAATTTGCTGAGCAAAGTCGAATGAATAGTGAATAACTGTATCAATCGAGCATGGGTCATGTGGCTCATCAAATTCGATTGTATCTGCTAATCTTTCCAAATTGTTCTTTGATTCAGAACAAGTGTTCCTGTAAAACTCTCTTTCCGTTTGAACGCAATTTAAATGTTCCTGCTGAGCCAAGACGCACTGAGACTTTTCATTATCGGGAAGGTTTGCAGACCGCAAGAGTTTCGAACTGTTCTGCTAGCAAGTTAAACAGAGGTCAGTCATGGGCTTGGCGATGAGAAGATCAGGATGAAACTGCTGCCACAGTTTTGTAAATGAAGTGTAGCCAACAACTTGCTTGCCCGTTGCTTCGCAAACTGTTTTAAATGCACGCCATACATTCATTTTTGTCTCTGATGATGAAAGCAGGCGAATGTCATCGTTTTTAAATCCCGGGATTCTGCCAGGAAGTAAAACAGCATTTTCTTCGGCGTCATTACTTAGAAAGTTCTTTACGTCCTCGGTTACGGCTTGGGGCAAGGTGTTGTGCGGTAGTCTCTTGTAGTTTCCATGAACCCTTTGTGAAAGTCCGTGTTCTTCATAATGTTCTTTTAGTCGGCGAAATCGTGAATAACTTATTCTGTAAAGATTTAAGAACATATCCCTGCAGATCGGACGGTTAAGGTAAAGGAAACTGGATCGCGAACTTTGTTTCCTTTTTTCGCCAATGATTTCACTGTTCGTGCATGCTTGAATGTTTGCCAAGATAACAAGATCGAGTTCTCCATGCGACAGTTCCAGGCAATTGTTTAACTTGGAAAGAACAACTTCCTTCGAAAACTGTTCACAACACTGGCCGCCTTTCGAGCCACGAGAGCACCCGCATCCTTCTTGTAGAAGTTTTGTCACTTTAGCTATGATTTCTTCGCTTTTGAGCACGTCAAACAGATCGCATTCAGCCATGATGGTTTTCACTGTAAAGAATAGTTCCTGCGAGAGAGTAGTTATGACAACGCGTCCGACTGTCAAAGTGATTGATGCGATTGGCTGGTGTTATGTTACCTGTCACTGTTGATGTAACTTGTATGCAAATTTATCCAGATCGGTGTAGTGACACGCAACTGAACTGAACTGACAGGAATGCGTTTTAGTCTTAGTCAAAAGTAAAGGTCAGCATAGCATACAATTTGAAAATGTATCGGGAACTGTTAGAAACAAAAAGTTGGGTATTTGTTTTGTAAGAAAGCTAGGAAAAACATCACCGCAAATACTTAGCAAGTTTGCATTCACCGTTGATTTTCTTTCGAGTTCCACTTCAGCAAACTCAGTTACGAATGTTGTCTGCGTTTCAAGTTTACTTTCTTTGGTTTTCAGTGGTGAAATAAACAGGAGCAGTTTCAACGATTGAAAGCCATCCGTTCGAAATTAATTTTAAGTGAGATGTGTAGCGGCACGGCACCATTCGAAATGAACAAAACAAATTACAATCATCAAGTTTGTAAGCTGTTCGTGACTGCTCGTTTGAAGATTTCTTGAGCCGTTCAAACGTTTAGATCGCCCGTTCGCAATTCTTTTCTGAGCCGTTCGAACGGTTTAGATATCTGTTCGGAATTTTTTTATGAGCCGTTCGAATGGTTTGGTTACCCGTTTGGAATTTTTTATGAGCCGTTCGAATGGTTTGGTTACCCGTTCGGAATGTTCTACAACCCGTTCGAACGGTTAGGCTACCCATTCGCAATTTTCCCCGAGCCGTTCGATCGGCTAAGCTACCCGTTCGGAATACTTAATCACCCGTTCGAACACTCTTTGAAACCCGTTTAAAACGGCTTGGTGACCCGTCTGTAACCCGTTTGATGGCCGTTCGTTTCACCCATGTAACGGCAAGTCGTTATAGCACGTTTTCGCGTGAAAGGTCACATATTTGTTATCCATGTTAGTTTTTTTCTCGGGTTCCCAAATTCCAGACCTTGTAAATGTCCTGGGCATTTAGTAAGCAGCCTCCTTTTCTTATTGTTTCCTTGTATTTCGTTTTGCAGTCGTGTTTAGGCAGTTTATGTCTGTAACGTAACATTTTTCCCTTACTTTGTAGGTATTTAATTTGCTGTTAACGTTCACATGTAGTAAAACATTTGCTGAGGTCTTCATGCTCGTTTTCCTCCAAGCGACCCTTGCCTTTTCATTGATTTTACTGAATTAGGTGCCACCACGTTTATCTTTCCATTTTTTGCAAATCCAGTGAGGGCAATCTTGTTGACTCAACAGAGGGTCTTATTGCTTTCATTGTACATACCGAGAGGTTATGGAAAAGAGTATAAAGATTCAAATACTTATCATTATGCTTAAATGATCGACATACCATGCATGTGTTACAGACTTAAACTTAAATAAAAACAAGCGAGATTGCAAATGAGGAAAAGAAGGCCTGGTACAAAGTCCCTAAAGTAGTCAAATATAAATCCCATAGTCGTTCAAAGCTTACCATTTAGACGGGCTAACGGGGTTATTGAGTGGTGGTACAAACAGGTTACAACCGAACACTGTCAGGCTACTCACTTCCCTCACTATCCATCATGGAATTACAGCACTGTGCATAGATTTATACTAATAATTTATACTGATATCAAATTCCTACAAGGTATTTGGACACCAACATTACACAATGTACATTTCACTGCTCATTGTACTGTTTTACAAGAAAATAACAATTGACTTGGTGGGAATTTATAAGTATGACGGTACTTAAATGTACGTAAATGGCGTATGTACTTCAGTCCATATTTTCTTAATTTGTCTTCAAGGACTATGTACCATAAAGAATGAAGATAAATGCAGGCACTGGATCGATTTATAAAATTTATGATTACAATCATGAAACTATAGTTAAATGCACCACTACAACTCTTGTATACCAGTTGGCAGTGTCAGTGTTCACCATTTCAACGGTATTTTACCACTTGATTGTGGAGATGGACTCTAGATTATTTCGGTTTGTTTACTGGCCAAACAGAGACCAACTGTGGACGACTCAGCCCCAGTGTTTCCAGTACACATCTGAGAAGAAAACCACTGTGATTATTGATTGCTTCGAGGTGTTCATTGAAACAGGGTACAGACTGCCCCAAGCTACAAACACCGCAACACTATCAAGGTTCTAGTATGGATAACCCCACAGAGAACTATTTCTTTTGTTTCAGAATCCTGGGGAAGTTGTGTTGTAGATAAGATTCTCAATTAGAATTGCGGTTTTCTAGACAAGCTTACTCCAGGTGACATGGTTATGGGCGAAAGAGGATTCACTGTCACTGAATCTCTTGGGTTGAGGCTTCCAAAACTGGTAATCCCAGCTTTCACAAGGGGAAAGACTCAGCTGGACCCAGTGGATGTGGAGGAGATAAGAGGTATCAAAAATGTTAGACTCCACGTAAGACGTGTGATTGGACCACTTAGACAAAAGTATACCACTTAAGAAGGTAGTCTGCTGACTGACTTTCTGATTTGTAATCATGACTAACCGTGGTATTCCATTGGTGGATCATTTGCAATGTTTAGCAATAAACAATGTTTCTAAAAAAAAGGCCGTTCTTCCGGTTGAGTGTCTCATCATTCTTGCACCTGGTTGTTTGAGTCCTTTGACCATGTATGTGCACCTGGTTCTTTTATCGATCGGCTTACCAACTAATGCACTCATGTCTGTTTAGGAGGAATTTCGATTTTTACACGATTTTGGCTTGTTTGATTTGAAAATGGCAAAGAAAAAAGCCAATTTTCAGGTGTTTTAAGGATACATAATTGGCGCAATTGTTGTTTTCACATACCAAGGTACAAAACATGCCCGCATTTACAAATAAACAACTGGCAAGAGCTCAGTTTCATTTCAATTGTCTGTAAGGATGTCATTTAAGGGTATTTACTGTAAATAAAGGTGAAAAATGTTTAAAAAAATATTTGCGTGCATTGGTTGAGTTAACATATTCAGTAGATGAACCAGATAATCCACTACTCTCGTGTTTAAAAGGTACATATACAGAGCGGGGGAATTGTGATCGCCTGCCAGTCAAAGGAAAAAGACTAATGTGCGTTAATCAGTTTTGGAAATCAAACGTTATCGAAGATAGATTCAAATATTCCCTAATTTATGGGAATTGTTTCAGGCTAGTCATATTTCACAACACATGGCTTAATCACACTAAGGTGATTCGAAAGTTACACTGCATAGACTACAACATCGATGTTTGCACGGCTCGCGGTTTACACGGTCATTTCCTTGTTGCTAAAGTGGTTTGCAATGTATTTTCTCCAAAAAATATGAAAGCAGTGACTCAGAAGCTACAGATATTGATAAGAGCACAAACATTGACAATAAAGCTAGCGACAAGGGTCCTTCAACAAGTGTTCTACATCCAAGAGCTGTTTGACGAATGCAATTCATCACCTATAGCCAGGCGGATTTAGACAAGTTCACTGACAGAAATTCATTTGCCTATGCCGTTCTCCGTTCTCTTAACATTAGTAACACAATCATTGAACAATGGGTTTGTTGCAAGGAAGTGCACGAAACCATGAGGGGATACCACTATCATATGGTGGTGAAGTTGCAGCACTGCAAAAGATGGCTGTCTTGTAAATGATACCTTCGAGAAAACTACACTACAGCTTCCATACTGTCAATAATCGAGGGCGTCAAGTGCTCATTCCACCCATCAACCGCACGACAAGTGCATGATTTGTGAAAAGACTACTGATAACTCCTCCAGTCCACCAAAATAAAATACAATACCCAGTACGCCCTCTGGGTCATCAAAAGGTCCAATAATTCGCAGTTCTGCCTCTGGGTAAACAAGTGGCAAATTTGGCGAACCTCAAGCTAAGGTTCCATGGGTACAGAACTCCAATTCTGACCCTATTGTTATTAATGATGGTTTTCCAATGTCTGACGCCGTCGAAAGGTAAAAACTACTTAACTGAATCTTCGTCTCAACATTGGCAAGCTTCGGAGGAACTGTCTGCCTTTTAAAATGTCTGCTTTGTCAAATCACTCTCTGACTTCGATAAGCGACAAATTGTATGCTAGTATCTGCGACCAGACATGGATTGTGTCTATACTCCTGCTTTGGACAAGTTCCTTCCGGATCTTCACCTCAAATGTAAAGCAGAAGATAATTCACTGAGGAAAACACAAGACCTCCTGCCGAATCTGGCAGGTCCCCTTGCTATGATCTACGAGTTAGTTTCTCAGGCTAGAGAGGATACCAAACAGTTGGATACTACTCTAATCCTCAGTTTTGCTACCAAGGGCCTTCAGTTGCTTGGCAATGTCAATAGCCACTTGTCAAGTGCACAGCATAAGTTTTAGTAAGATTGGTCAAAAGTAAACTTCACTTTCCAATTAAAAGTGGGAGAACAATGGCAAAGAGCTCTTTGGGCAGCAATTTCCAGCAACGATTTAAACAAAATTCTCGCACGTCCCAGCTATTATAGCAGTTCTGAAACAGCTAAAACAATTTCAGCTTTGAGTTTTTTTGCCAAATCAGATCTGATTGGGCACCAACTTCATAGCCAAACAAGAATCAGCAGATCCCCTGAATCAGATGGATCAAGAGAAAGTGAATCGCAACTGGATCGACATGAAGATGAATTTTCCAGCAGTCAGCCACATGGACGGAAGGTGGGAACAGCACATGAGAACTGTGAGAAACATTCTCTCAGTGCTGCTTCAAGAGTCTGGAACCCAGTTAGATCATGAAAGCTTTGGCACACTGATGAAAGAAGTTCAGGCATCGTAAGCAGAAGTTGAGACCTCTCTCAGTAAATAACATGTCTCCAAAGGCCCAAGAGCGTTGACACCGAATCATCTTCTCACAGTAAAGGTTTATGTGTTAATGTCTCCTCCTGGTGTATTCTTAATGGATGACCTTTACTAAGGGAAGAAATGGCGAAGAGTACAAGACCTTTCCAATGAATTTTGAAACACATGGAGAAGGGAATTCCTACACACACTACAGATGCACGGGAAGTGGGTCAAACAGCAGAAAACCCTCTCTAATGCACACATTATTGTCGTGAAGGATGATCACCTCCCAAGGAATGAGTGGAAGCTAGCTTGTGTTGAGCAGACCCTCCCAACTGATGATGGCTTCATTTGAAAGGTGATCCTGGCCACTGGAGCACAACATCTTGACAGTCAAGGCAGAAGGACACAAGAAATTCAGGCTTGGAAAGACTAGTTCACAACTTGGTGCTGACTTTACCTCACGCATTTTGTCTTGGGTAGCCGACTCACTAACTGTTAAATTCTGTCATCAAATTTGTTATGTAATTGCTTTCTAGTTTTACGGGTCTTTCAAGAATCAGTGATTCTGCCAGCAATGTAATTGGTTTATCTTTGGATCAACTGGAACCTATTATTGAGCGAAAAGTCGTGCCATAACAATAGCAGACAGAATCAAGGGTAGACAGGGATTCCTCCAATCGGAAACTAGACCCAACAGTTTTCGCCTGTCTAAACACCTTGTGGGGTGCTTTGGACGTGGATTCGTTTGTCACCCGACTGGCAATCCAACTACCCAGGTTTGTGAGTTGGAGGCCAGATCCAGAGGTGGAAGCAACAGATGCTTTCACTCTGGATTGGTGTCAAATAAGGGGCTATGCCTTTCCCCCCTTCAGTCTAGTAGGTCAATCCCCATCCCATTAGAGGGAACAGAATTCCGAAATGATGTCTAGTAGCATTTATATGGGAAACTCAGCCATGGTACCCTCTTTTACTAGAACTCAGTGTAGATTTCCCTTGGTTACTCCCAGTGGGCACAGAGATTCTCAGCAGGGAGGGGTCGCCACACCCTCTTTCCCTTCTCCAACTTTCACTTCAACAGAGCGTGGTTCTGAATTGGTAGCCCATGACCTCAGGTCTAGGAACTATCACCCCAAGGGTGTTGCGTTTAACCTTCCTGAATTAACTAACTTAATTATGCTGAAGGTATCCTTCCATGCCAGCTTTTACGTCCAGCCAGCTTTTATGTCCTTGTGAATGAATGCCTTAGGGCCTATGAAGCGTGCTTGGCTGCCTTCAGACACTTAGACCCTGGATAACCTAACAAACTTTTCCTGGCTACTATTAGACCTCACAAACCAGTCAGATCCACAACCTTAGCCACATGTATCAGAAATCTCCTTTCTAATTCAGGCATTGACTCAACCATCTTTAAGGGTCATTCTACTAGGGGTGCTACATCTTCCACTGCCGCTAGAACTGGGCTTTCAGTAAGTGATATTACTTGTGTTATTTTTAGGATGGCTGACTGGCTGACTAGTCTGGTGACAGCACTGTTCACCTCTTCTATTACACGCCCATTCACAATCCCGATTTTGGCAGAACTATTCTTAGTCTTCGTTAGGCTTTGAACTAGCATTGTTATATTGAGGTGCATTTAAATCAAAAATCTTGTCTTGTTCGATTTGCCTGCTTGGCGCACGCTATGAGATTGTGGTCCAGTTCAAATTAGATGACCTCTGAGAGTTCACGTTCCTGTTTTGCCTCTAGCAGATCTAGAACTCTGTGATAAACTGACAAGTTCGGTATAAAACACTATAAGGCAGAATTAATTCAACGGCATTTGAAAGAAAAAAGAGAGTTTGTACACCTAAACCAGAGTGAAATAGGTTTAAATTTTTAGGACTACAATCCTATCAAAAAAAATTTAAAACTTGTATGACCTTGAGGGAAATTGAATGTCACCTCACATCAAGAGACTTTTATCCAGTCGACTGTGCCATGTAGCAGATACAACGTGTGCTAAAAATCGTACCTGTTTTAGATGTAAATAAGAACTGTATTTTTTCTCATTTTTCCTAGTGCTTACCTCCAGTTAGATCCTTCAGTTCATCCTTGCCCTCAGTTTTGTATGTCGAGTCTGTAATTTCACTTTCATTATTTCGACATTTAATACGATAAAAACAGACAATTGAACGTTCCAAAAATATTTGTAGAAAGTACTGTTAAGTATTGAACTTTATCCCATCAGGCCGTGGAAGAACTTTTAGCTGCTGACTTCCCAGACTGTGATGATGAGTCAAGCTCTTCTTCAGAGGATGTCTTGGCAGACTCTTCAGATCAAGACCAGTTTGATAATAATGAAGAACCAGGCTCCTCAGAAACAAGAGTGCATGACATTGGCATTCAGTGTTACTGTCAGCCTGTTACCTTAAGAAGTGTAGCAGTTCAAACTGAGGATTCCAAACCAAAAAAGAACAAAGCTAATGTTACCCCCACCCCTATACAAAATGAGCCCTACATGTATGTCCCACCATGTGTAGATGCTGTACAACGGAAAGTTTTGAAGGATCACACTTATTCTTTGCCAGCATGTCCCAGTTCAGTGTTTCCTACTTATGATGATAACTTTTTTAGAACCATCCCTTTCACTCAATTGCACAAAGAAGACTCAAGGCTTCAAAATGATGATGACAACGTCAATGGTCATGTCAGTGACACAGATGATGAAGTTAATGATGAAGACCTACAATCCCGGACAAAACTACTTGAGAAAGTTTTCCCCATCATGTCCACTTTCCTACGCAACAAAACTATTTCCAAAACGACGCCTTTGCGGAAAGAAAACCCCTTCCCCCAATTCAATGTTGCTTCCCACAAACGCCCAGGGATCAGGCTTTCTTTTGAATACACAACAACATTGCTTTCAGGGGAAGGGGGAGAGGGAAGAACCAATACAGCTATGATGCTTGGAAAAATGCTGTCCAAGTATACAATTTTCTCAACAGTTTTGTCCAAGATTGTGTACAGGGTGATTCGCGTTTTCTCACAAGAATATTAGCAAGGACAAAACAAAAACATGCTAATAAAAAGCACTTTACAGAAGCTGTTTTGAGTACAAAGTTTCACGCCAGACCATCTTCTCAAAGAAAAGCACGACCTCATATACGTTTTTTGCAGCACCCTCTTTAAAACAGTTAGATTTCGCAATAGACATACAACGCGTGCTAATTGTTACATATTTTCCTGTAGTTCCGGAATGGAGGGCTCGGAAAATGTGAAGAGTAATTTATCTTTTTCAGAAGAGTCTGAACAAGACTTGTATGACGGTTCTCTTCCAAGAAAAGGAGTTCATAGTGTTTATTTAGGGACATACTAGTCAATCTGATATGGAACCGTTTCCCGTCACGTGGAAATTGCTTCTCAGAGCTTATAATTGATTAAACTATGGGTGTTACAGATACTTTGTTTGTTAAAAGTCGGTTAACTTTTTATGATAATTCCATGGATAGAATAATATTACGATTAACAAAGCATTGAAACAGTTAACACCATTCCATTTTCAATAGAGAATGACCTTCTGTTTCTTATTAAACTTCCCTGTTAATTGTTGTTAACCGTTGCTAATCTTCGCAGCCCCTCAAAAATGTCCTGTTAATCGTTCCGACTTGCAGATATTGTGGAGAGAAAAAGATTAGAAGTCAACTATGGCAACTATTATCATGCCTTGGTTTACAAATTATCAATTTAGGTCATAATTTTTCCAGTCATATGTAACCCGAAGACAAAACGTGCACTTTTACACATCACGCGATAGTACATCTTGTCACATTATCGCGCGTGACATTTCTAGATTTCATAGTGTGTTTCTTTGGACTGGATATCGCTACAATTTCAAAAGTAAGCATTCAAATGTGAAAAGTAAAAATGCAGCTTTTGTAAATATTTAATCCTCCCTCCATCTAATGCTTTTATTCATTTCAAGTGCTTGCCCATTGACTACTTCGGCGATGGGAAAATTGTTCAAAGTTGTCAGGGCACGAGCTCTGAAAATTCAGCAAAAGTTTTATGTGTTATTTGTTGATCGAATCGTAGTAGGTGAAATTCCCGTTTTCTGCCTAATCTGCTTGACGAAAACGTCCTTTTCGTCCTCGAAAAGCACAATGTATGCCCGCTGCTCTTCACTCAAAGCGCGGGTAAAAACCATGCATGGAAAATGAATTTCACAAACGTTCTTGACTGACCACTCCAATCAAGTAAGACATACCAATTGATTTTCTTGTCATAAACGCCTCTGTTTTCACTCATTTTGTATTCATTATCTACTTTTCTTTGAAATGTACTACATTTATAAAGAACAGGCTTATTTGGCTGCGTTAAAGGCTGCAAATCGCCTTTCCCAGTCAAATACAATCCCGGATAAAACTACTTGAGAAAGTTTTCCCCATCATGTCCACTTTCCTACGCAACAAAACTATTTCCAAAACGACGCCTTTGCGGAAAGAAAACCCCTTCCCCCAATTCAATGTTGCTTCCCACAAATGCCCAGGGATCAGGCTTTCTTTTGAATACACAACAACATTGCTTTCAGGGGAAGGGGGAGAGGGAAGAGCCGGTACAGCTACGATGTTTAGAAAAATGCTGTCCAAGTATACAATTTTCTCAACAGTTTTGTCCAAGATTGTAGATCCCCACTGGAAATTTCCCCCTAAAGGAAAACACTATGACGATGATGATGAAGATGATGATGATGATGAAGAATCAGAAGATGAGTTCCCAGAAACCCCCAGCAATGAATAAAAATCTGTAGTCTTTAATTCAAATCTAAATAATTTATTTAATAGATGCCAGGAATGCGGTGATGTTGTCATTGAACAGAAGAGGAAAACTGTTGGAAGCATGTTATCTGTAGAGGTTGTGTGCCAGCGTGGGTGTAAAATGACATGGGAGTCACAACCTGTGGCAAAAAGGAAACCTCTAGGAAAGTTATAACTGGCATCATCCATTCTTTTTACAGGTAATAAATTTGCTGCCATAAGTCGTCTGGCATCATGTTTTAACCTACAATTTTTCAGTGAAAGTGTCTTTTATGACACCTTGCGTAAATACCTGTTCCCTGTGGTGAATGAGGCATGGGAAGCAGAGAGTCAACGGCAGGTCGACAGACTGACTACCAAAGAAGTTGTAAATCTCGATGGTGATGGCAGGTGTGACAGCCCTGGCCACTGTGCCAAATATGGCACCTACACTTTAATGGATGAGGACTCTGGAGATGTGGTTGCATTCAATGTTGTCCAGGTCTCAAAGTCAGCTCATCAAATGCCATGGAGAAAGAGGGCTTTTCTCGCTGCCTTCAAGACTTGGAGGAAAAGGGGATCACAATTGACAGGATTGCTACAGACCGCCACGTTTCCATCAGCAGCAGCATGAAGAAGGACTTCCCACACATCAACCACCAGTATGATGTTTGGCATCTCTCCAAGTGGGTGGTCAAGAAACTTACAAACAAAGCCAAACAAAAGGGTTGTGAGGAACTGGCCCCATGGATACAATCCGTTTCCAATCACCTCTGGTGGTGCGCGGTAACCTGCGATGGGAATGTGCAGCTTCTGCGTTAAAAGTGGAAGTCTGTTTTAGATCATGTAGTCAACAAGCAGAAGTAGTTAGGCAACACGCTCTTCCATCAGTGTTGCCACCAACGTATCTCTTCCTCTGAAGCTAAGAAAATTTGTTGGCTTAAGCCAGGCTCACAAGCTCACATAGCTTTAGAGGAAGTGGTACTAAATAAATAGTTTGTTAAAGATCTGGCTAAACTAACTGACTTCTGTCACACTGGTAAAATTGAGGTGTACCATTCAATGATGCTGAAGTCAGCCTCCAGATGCGAGCATTATTCTTACCAGGGCATGGTAGCTAGGACCCAGCTAGCGGCTCTAGACAACAATGCTAACACTGGCCATAATCAAGCTGTGAGAAAGTCAGGTGAACGGGCAGGTGAGGCTTGATACAAGCTTTGCTTCCCAAAAGCAAATAAAAGATGGGTTGTCAAACCAATTAATGAGAAGAAATCATATCAGTTCTTGTCAGACCTACTTTCAGAGGTGCTCAGTCGTGTTGAGCAGGGGAATGCAGCCGCACAGTCACTTTATCCACACCTACCAAGTAACATTGCCTGAGAACCAGCACCTACTAAATCAGATGGAATACGCCAACATCGGTCAAGATTTAATAGATGACTTAATAGTGAGCCTTTGACACATTTTCTGGAGGTTTCCTATTTGTAACAGTCAATCACAGTAACACTGAAATTTTTTCCAAACATGACAATAAGAAACTCAAACACCCCCATGTCTTTTTACTCCAATTGCGTGCAAAAAACTGAAACCCACATGACAAGAACAGTTCATCAGTTGTGAGGGTTTTTTGACTGCAAATAATGAGCAATAGACCTTTTTAGCTAGTATGTTTTGTTTTCCAAATTCACACCATGTTCTTGATGTTCTCAAGAAAATTTGCGTTTTCATAAGCTATGTAGACATGCACATGGATGCATGTGTATAGGACTTTTGAACATAACATGGTCTAAAGTGAGAATACAAAACCTAAAGGCTTAAAAATTTAGCTCACAAAATGTAACCAAATCATTTATAATGCCCTCTTTATAGTTGTATATTATGCGTCATAAGTGGCTTACGGTTTCTCATTTACACTGGCAGCCTGATGTCAGTTTTAAGTCATGTCACTCATCTGCATATCTAAACCCTGTAAAGACGAACTCCCCCTCGGGCCCAGGTGGAGGATAGAAGTTCCTAATACACATGACAGCACATGAAGGAAGCACAACCCTAATTTCCTTGCCCAGGATTCCCCAGCACCATCGGGCCAAATGTCTGTATGCTATGTGCCTGTAAAGTTCGTCTTCAGGCCCATCAAAAGATTCTTTGTATTGGTGCTTATATTGATACCATGCAGTCTGCAGGATCCATCTATTTATACACACTGGATGGAACCCTGAATGCTGCGTGATGCATGTTGGCTCTTCCTCACATTCACCACTAGTAACTGCTTCATTAAGCTTATTTTTAACCTGCTCTATTTTTTGGCAGCATATTCATGCCTCCGCTCTCCCCATAATCTGGCAATTATCACATGAGTACCTAAATCATAGATGGGAAACAAAAAACTGAATTGCTCTTCATTTAACATGAGGTACAGGTTAAGAAGCCGGATAAACACCAGCAATTGAAAGCTGATTTAAGACAACAATGTAAGGTTTTGTAAGATTTAGATGTTAGTAACTTTTTTTTTTGTATTACGTGTAGATAAAATATGTTGAAGCAAAATATTTGTTTGCGTTGAAGAAAACTGTTTATACAAGCTAGTAAACAAAGTGAGGACACTGGCAAATCTAGATAGTTAAACATGTAAATAAAATTCTCTCCTGAAATAGGTTAGGCAGGACCATTGGCCGCCTGTTGACTTAAAGAACCTACGTGTAGTGAAGATCAACATTTTTACAAAAATGCAGTTCTTTTTGTTTGCAACCGTGCTAGTGTTAGCTTATATAAAACTAAGCAACGTGCCGAGAAAATTGTTCAACATCCTTCCCTTCTACTTGAAAAGTCCAGCTGCGGGGGGAGGAGGGAATTTATGCTAGGTTTTGAACAGCTTTCATGTCCACAGCACGTAATTCGGAAGACATATTGAAAAATACGAACACTAAGCAATTTGTCGGCCGCTTGATAATGTTTACGTACTCAAGGCTCTCAAAACGAAAAAAAAAAAGAAAAAGAAACAATTATGAACACGACATCTGGGCCAAGCAACAGTTTATTTCGCAGATCAGTAAAAGAATTACAATGAAGCAAAGAGCACAGCACATACCAGTCGGAATTTTTTAGTCTTGGATTCAATTCTTCGCTGCCTTCCATGGACTCATTGCCAGAAAGACTTTCAGTGTTGATATCCCTCTCATCTGTGTTGACCTGCGGTTCAAACTGATACGGCTGGATAGAAAACGTTTGAGCTCCTTGTTCTTCGTCGGAGAACTCGGATTCTGACCCAGAATTTGACATTACAAGAGTGATAAAGGAAAGAAAAACTCCCAAGGCAGACGAAGCAAAATGTTGTACACAACTGGAAGCCGCGTAAATATCGGATTATGCTTGACGTTCTGATGTCACAAATTAAAATGCTGACCCATTTCTGAGCAGGTGAACAATTTTCAAGAAGGCAGAATGCTATTTGCATTTGACTCTGCTCTCGGGTGAAATAACTTTGTTCTAACGAACAATCACTTAACTTAGTAATAAAAAATTGATACAACAAATGTAGGCCAATCATTAAGAAAAAGGTCATTTTTACCCGGGAGTTCCCGTTTAACATTTTTAAGTTTAAAATTTTGTTTTCATAACTGCATCTATTTTGATTCAGACAGAAGTCTCAGCACTGTACCCAAAAAGGATTCACTAAAACATAATCCAGTTCAAAAAAGTACAGGGAACCGTGAACCATGGCAGACTGAACAGAGATTTTAAAAGTCACCTTTACGGAAAAGGGCTTATGTCAGATTGAAGTTGAGAATTTCTCAACAACAGGGAACACTTGGTCATGTGGTAAAAATTCACATTTGCTGTTTGCCACAAATGTGACTCTTGGCTCTAATGTAAGGTCATGTAAGGTCAACAGACCTGCATGCGCACATGCGTGCAAACATAGGTGATACCGGTAGTGTCTTTTTGGAATATTGAGCCACTAGCTGCAAATAACTGAGATAAGTTTTAAGTAAACTACGTGCTGTGTAAAGCCTCACGTAGTCAGGCCCCTTTGCATGGACTAAAATGGCCTCAAAAAACGGTTATTTTGTACATGGATTTTCACAAAAGCCTACCTACACAAAAGGTGTCTTCTCAAGACTGGTATTACTCAAAAAAGCTCAAAACAAGCCTAATGGGCATATACTGTGCAAACCAGGAAGTCATACAGACGGAGCAAGGCCGAGACAGGTATGACCATCTTATAGTGTGGTGTGACAATTCCCTGGCCCAGTTTAAGCAAAACTTTCTATTGTTTATGTGGATTACCTGGTCACAAGAGGAGATGTCCAATGAACAGACTTAAAATTTTTGTTGGAGGGTCACTCGTATAGTGTTTGCAATAGATATTTTGGAAACATTCAAAACGTTTTTAACGCCCAAGAGAAAATTGAAACACCTCAAGACTTAGAAACCATTCTAGTCACTGGCAGTTTATCAAGCATTAAGGTCTATTGGGTAAGTCTCAACATGATAAAGGACCACAAGTCATTTTTAAAGTTAAAATACATCAGTGAAAATGACGATTTACAGCACGAGAAATTTAAGGTCAAAGAAATCACATGGATTAATTTTGGAATTCGAGAACAGCCTGATGACAGGGGCAATCTGAAAGTTGTACATCATCCTGACTGTGCCTTTGTGCATTTCACTATTGACCCCAAACAGCAACCCAATCTGGTTTTGTAAGCAAAAAAAGGCAAGCAACTCCACTGCGAATAGACCTACTGACCACACTGAGGCAGGAACTAAGAACAATTCGTGAAGATGTAATGCAGCAGAGTTTAAATCTAGCTAGAAAATATTTG